TGTAGCATTGCATCAGTGTCTCACTGCAAGTGAATGGGTGCCGTCAGAATGAGAGTCCAAACAGCTGATAAAAACATCACAATAATCCACAAGTAATCCACAGCACTCCAGTCCATCAGTTAACATCTGGAGAAGACAAAAGCTGAAACACATCCAGCATTAAGATGCTTTTAACTAAAATACGAGTCCATAATTCATAATAACGCTTGAGGAGAGAAATCTGCACAGATCAAGCACCGTCTACAAGACAAAACAGTTCAAAACAGCTCTAAACAAATACAGCGGGGAAAATAAGTATTGAACACGTCATAATTTTTCTCAGTAAATATATTTCTAAAGGTGCTGTTGACTTGAAATTTTCACCAGATGTCGGTAACAACTCAAGTAACCCATGCATACAAAGAAAGTTCAGAAATTAAGTTCTGTGTAATAAAATGGAATGACACAGGGGGAAAGTACTGAACTACTGAAATGTATTTAATACGTTGTACAAAAGGCTTTGTTGGTGATGACAGCTGTCTGGAGAAACTATAGTGGCATGCATTGCTCAGGTGTGATTATGGCTCATTCTTCCACACAAACAGTCTTCAGATCTCGAAGGTTCTGTGGGCCTCTTCTATGAACTCTGAGCTTTAGTTCTTATTATTTTCTAGTGGATTCAAGTCAGGTGATCGGCTGGCCGTACGAGCAGCTTTATTTTCTTTCTCTGAAACCAGTCGAGAGTTTCCTTGGCTGTGTTTGGGATCATTGTCTTGCTGAAATGTTAATTAATTAATTAATTTCCACTGACTTTCTAATTATTGGTAGATTTCTGCTGGTGTCTTGACTTTCCATGACTTTTTGCACCTCCCGTTCTTCATGTGTTCAATACTTTTCCCCCTGTATCATTCTACTTTATTACACGTAACTTCATTTCTGAACTTATTTGTTTTGTTTTCTTTGTATGCATGGGTTACTTGGGTTGTTACCGACATCTTGTGAAAATTTCATGCCAACAGCACCTTTAGAAATTTATTTACTGAGAAAAATGGTGACGTGTTCAATACTTAAGTGGCTGGATTTTGATGTGAGAGACAACAGCAGATGCACTTTTTCACTGGAGGAAGAGTTATTATGGATTATAGACTCATGTTCAAGTTAAAAACATCTTAATGCTTGCTCTTCTCCAGATGTTAACTGATGGACTGGAGAGGTGTGGATTACTTGTGGATTATTGTGATGTTTTTATCAGCTGTTTGGACTCTCATTCTGACGGCACCCATTCACTTGCAGTGAGACACTGATGCAATGCTACATTTCTACAAATCTGATGAAGAAACAAACTCATCCTAATCTGGGATGATCCTGAGGATGAGCACATTTACAGCACATTTTCGTTTTTCGGGGAACTGTTCCTTTAATGACATTTAAATTTCACTCCACTGATCTGAAATCAACACTTGCTCAAAGTGCAGAAGGCAGATCAGAGAAAATCTCCATGTTTTGATGGAGAAGCGTCCTTGCATGATATGAACACAAACACATCAGGAGGAGTTAAATGCTCTTCTCTTGAAACGTCTCATTGGTTATAGTCACTTGTAAGGGTTGATCTTTTGACCGACTGTCTAAACTGTTCCGATTGGAGGATTCAGAAGAAGCGTCAGATAAGCACCGCCCACACTGGTTTGATTGACAGGTGTCCAGGCAGCTCTCAGGTGGATACAGACACGTCTGCGAGGTATTCGTCACCTCCTTCAGCTCTCGAGACACGGCGGACGGAGAGTCTCTGGAGATGATGGAGGACACCTGCGCTCCATCCATGCAGTGGAAGCTGTTCTGTCCCTGCGGCATCTGAGAGCCAATCTTACAGAAAAGACACTTGATGTTCTCGATCACCTTTGAGAGAACCGCTTTACGCAGCAGGATGTAGATCCAGGGATCTAGAATGGGGTTGGTCGAGGCAAATCGGATCGCCAACAGATCTGGATTTTTATCCAGACGTTTCTCCACCGGCGTCTTGTAAAGTTGGTTGAGAAACACCTGGACCTTAAAAAATGACATGATTTAGTTACCAAATTTTCATGCATTTGAAAAAATAACATGAAAACATTTTGCACGTGAATATGTGTGGGGTCTGAAGGAACATCCATTTAAGCATCATAAAGTAAACGAGTGACACTAAATGATGCTCTAAAGTCAGGTTGTGAAAAATTATTTTTTGAACTTGTAAATAAAACAAAGATTACTGGAGTATGTTTTACAAAAAAAAAAAAACTTCAATCTTTCTATTTCAAAATACAAATTTAATGATGTTTTACTTAAATATTTGTGAAATTTACTCGCAAAGAGTAAAAATTGTTTCTACGCCAACTTTTTTCAGGGCAATATTTAGAAATCTGTGCACATTTTTAATGAAACTTTACTATGATAATATAACTAAGAATTATTACACATATTACATGTTCATAACTTTCTGAGATTTTCACCTCACTGAAAAAAAAACAGATTTCACACAGCAAATTTCTCAAATTATTACATTTTCTGTAAAATGTACTCAAATTATATTTATTTACAACTTCGATCATCAAATCAAATCAAATCATTTTTTACAGTGTGGTCAAGTGGATTTTTTAACATTTATTTTTTGGTAGATGTTCTTCAGGTTTGTTCTGGACACTAAACTAATGTTGTCCATTTTTACTGACATTCAAGGAATAAAACATAATTTATGCATTTAAAAAAAAAGTTGCTTTTATCCAAAGCGACTTCTTGAAGAAAGTTCTTGTTTTGCAGATTTGACAATCATATCGAGCAGCAGAGTGATCGGAGAGATAAAGTTGACACAACAAATGAATAGGGAAAAATTATATATCACTATTCCTATGAAATATTAGATATTATTATGAAAATCTTGCCAATTATGACTCCCATTATTGCACTTATTTTTTCATTCTATGTTGGCGTTACTGTCCACCACTGGGGGAAACCCATTTATGGCCATTTTACACACATTTTGCATAAAGAAAAATGGTTTTTAAAAATATCTTTCATAACATAATTGAGAATCATCTTTATATAAAGTTTGGTATAAAAAAATAAAAATTTGTTTGTGATTAAAACAAACAAACAAAAAAAATCCCACTGTTTTTGCCTTTTCATGTTTGTTCAAGTCTTTTTATTTTTTTAAGTCCAGTTGCATAAACTGCTTAGACTAGTCTTAAAAATTTAGTCTGGTCATAAGTTTTTTAAGTCAATTACAAAACGGTAGCTTGGTCCAATTTGAATCCTTAAAGTAAGACTAATTACCTCTTGACCAACTAGTTCTTAAGACAGAGTTAACTCTTAACTTACAGTTACTTATGAAAATGGTAACGATTACGAAGGAGGTTACATCTGAATATTTTTTCACACACATACAGATTCGATTGATATCTTTCATAAATTGCACTGGCTGCTCTAAAATATGAGACACTAATGTTTCAGGAGTTTAGGACACATGCGTATTCCATAACTGTTTTATGTCCTATTTGGGTTGATGTATATGCTTTATTTTTTTTTTTAAGATTAACAGTTTTTTTCCAAGGCATTGTTAGATGCCAGTGTTTCCAGTCATAACTACGCAAAGATTTGATTTCAAGAACAGTATCATAGCTATTAAACTATATCTCATGATTTTAAATCTGTATTTAACCTCAGCGATCTCAAAGTAAAAACAGGTGTTAAACTCTGATTTTGTGGTGGCTGTGCTTTAAAATTAAATTATTCTAATTCAAGTGATGAAGGATTGTGAAAGTCTGACCGTAATCAGTGTTGAGGTTAACCCTGCCTGCTTTACATGTTTACAAAACATTAGAAATTTAGAAAAGTAATAAAAAGTGTAATAACGCGGCGTGCGTGCTCACGTTGGTCCGCCAGTCGATGAAGCACCAGGTTTGAGGGTATTGCATCTTGACCTCTCCAAAACCAGCGCTCGGCAGCGCGCAGAACAGTATGTTGGATGCGTAAATGGCGAGCAGCGTGACTCCCGCGAGCTTCTTATCCACGTAGTCGTTGTAGAAGTACGCGTGATTGATGGCGATGTATCTCTCGACGGACATGGCGCAGATGATGCTCAGTCCAGCGAGGGAGAAGAAGAGCAGAACGAATCCGAAGTACTGGCACAGGGGGTCTCCATCAGGCCAAGCGCCCTTCACGTAAGTGGCGATGGTCACCGGACTGGCGAGGACGCTTCCCAGGAGATCCGTGACCGCCAGACCGCAGACCAGAGTGTAGAAGGTGGTCTCCTTCTGCTCCCTCCTGGACTTGCAGAGCACCACGATGGCGATCAGGTTGCTGATGACTCCAAAGATGAACATGATGGCCGGGATGGTGGGCTCCATGCTGCGCGTCGCGGTGCTGTTGTCCATGTTAAACTTCTCCAAGTGTCATTTTGCAGGAGTTGCTGGCGTTGCGCGGAGTTAATCCTGCTGTGGAGCGAATAAAGTCATGACTGACTGATCCGCCCCCCCTGCCTCATGTGTGTCCCTGAAGCACAAAAGCAGTGTTAAGTCGCTGGGGTATATTTGCAGCAATAGCCAACAATACATTGTATGGGTCAAAATGATAAATTTCTCTTTTATGACAAAAATCCTTAGGATATTAAGTAAAGATCATGTTCCATGAAGATATGTTGTAAATTTCCTATTGTAAATAAATCAAAACATATTTTCTGATTAGTAATATGCATTGCTAAGAACTTCATTTGGACAACTTTAAAGATGATTTTCTCAATATTTAGATTTTTTTGCACCCTCAGATTCCAGATTTTCAAATAGTTGTATCTCAGCCAAATATTGTCCTATCCTAACAAACCATACATCAATGGAAAGCTTATTTATGATGTATAAATCTCAATTTCAAAAAATCTAAACTTGATTTATGACTGGTTTTGTGGTCCAGGGTCACAAATGTGTCAGAATACACAGGATACACTTAAAAAAATAAGCTAAATATGTTTACATTTATTTATTTATTATTAAGTATAATTAAACATGCAGGGCTCTATTGCCTCTATACACTTACTTTTTAGCACTTGTATGCTTTTACACTGCACATATTGCATAAATAATGTTATGAGTTATGATAGTTTTAAATATGAAACTAAAATTGCCAGTAGGTGGCGGCAAGCCACTGTCTTAATGATTTGTTGAGTCATTTATTCAATCGATTCTTTCAAAGCGGTTGATTCATTCATGAACAAACTAATAAACTGTTTTTATGAGTGGCAAATTCATTCAGGAAGGAAACACCGCTGTGTGTTGCCAGAGATGCACATCATGGCTTTGTTTGGAACCATTTTTGTTAATGAAATTGAGCAAAAGGCAATAGTGTCTTTACAAATTAAGCCATTAGCGCTGAAAAGGCGTGAACAGCTATTTTTACGTCTGACCTTATTTGAATAGGCCTATGCATTTGTAGGAGTTTCCCTTTCAGACGCAAAATGTATAGGAGGAGAGTATTAAAATGAATCATGCAACGTGATTTACTAACGTTTGCGCTCGTCAAATTACTGGTATTTGCGCCATATTTATATTTAAAGCAGGTGGTAATTTGTGCTGCTCTTGGTAGATTGCGCTGGTCATTATGGAAATTAGGTTTAAGATTTTTTATTTTATTTTATTCTAATGTTAGATGTGGCTCCTCCATCCCGAGTCTGCTGTTTTTAAATATTTGTACATACTTTAAAATACTTTAAAGACTTTTATGCATGACATTTGCGACCTAATTCCCTTGATATAGATATAAATAAATAAACAGTGCAATAGGAATAAAATGAAACCATACCGCTTAATCTCACAGAGCTGAAACTCCTCGTCTCTCCTGCATCATTTAGAGACAAAGTTCTGAGAAATAAACTCAAGTCCAAAGAAAACCGCTCAAACCTGATTTGCATTTAGAGGAATTAATGGACATTTTGACTCCGTACTGCTATTTTAGTTGGTTATACACTTTTGGCATTAAACATGCATGTTAAATGTATGAAAAATGCTTGTCATTTACCAAAGACTGCAGGAATGCTTTACACAAATACATGCTTAGTGTACAAGTTTATACTTGTGTAACCTCAAATTCAAATCAATAAATCACCCCCACAACTATGTGGCATACTGAGAGTTTAGATATGAATGTGTAATCATAAGCTGAGGTTTTGGCTCATCCCTCGAGTTCTTGTTTCTATTTCTAAACAACATCTACCTACAGTAACAGCACAATTACCTTTACAGCAGGAACAAGCACAGACACGCGTGAACCGAGTGGAAAATCACTGTCTCTTTCCAAGCTTCGGATTTATTTTGATACATTTTTAACAGATGCTGCATTATATTTAATATTAATATTCTGTGCATAAGAGATTTATTTATAACGTGTTAACTAAAACCAAAAAAACTTTTGTTACTTGAAATCAAATAAACTTTAACTGAAATAAAACATAAATACAACTGTACACTTATTGCCAAGGCATCATTTCTCATTTTCATTTAATTCAACTGGAAGTACTAAAATAACTAAAACTGAAATAAAAAAAATAAATAAATAAAAAATTTAAAAAATGACAAAAACACAACTAAATTTAACATGAAAACAGAAAATGTAAAAACTAATTCAAAACATTAATAAAAATCAATCATAGTATCTCAATGATGCTTGAAATAAAATAAACATAAATAAATAAAAATAAAACCTTAAACTTATTTTATTTAATCTAGTTGCCAAGGCAACATTTCTCATTTTTATTAACTTTAAAATTACTAAAACTGAAATAAAAATTAATAAAAATATAAACATATAAAAAAATAAATAAAAAAAAGACAAAACTACACAACAAAATTACTAACATTTTTAAATGTTAAACTATATAAAACTAATGCAAAACATCCATAAAACTATAATAGTATCTCAATGATGCTTGACATAATAAACATAAATAAATAAAAATAAAACCGTAAACTTATTTTATTTCATCTAGTTGCTAAGGCAACATTTCTCATTTTTATTATCTTTAAAAATTACTAAAACTGAAATAAAAATTAATAAACATATTTTAGTATCTCAATGATGCTTGACATAAAATAAACATAAATAAATAAAAATAAAACCGTAAACTTATTTTATTTCATCTAGTTGCTAAGGCAACATTTCTCATTTTTATTATCTTTAAAAATTACTAAAACTAAAACTGAAATAAAAATTAATAAACATATTTAAAAAAAAACAATAAAAAATGATTTTATGCAAAACATCCATAAAACTATAATAGTATCTAAATAATACTAATTAAATAATTTGACATAAAATAAACATAAATAAATAAAAATAAAACCGTAAACTTCTTTTATTTCATCTAGTTGCCAAGGCAACATTTCTCATTTTTATTAACTTTAAAATTACTAAAACTGAAATAAAAATATAAACATATAAAAAAACAAAAAACAAAAAAAAAACAACAATAACAACTACAAAACTACACAACAAAATTACTAAAATGTTTACCATAATTAAAATGAAAACAGAAAAAGTAAAAACTATATAAAACTAATTCAAAACATCCATAAAATTATAATAGTATCTAAATAATACTTACATTTTGTTACTTGAAATAAAATAAACTTACTAAACAAACTAAATTACTAAAACTTCAACAAAAAACATAATATAAAAATAAAAAACTACTTCAAAATATTAATAAATAGTATCTCAGTGATATAGTAAAACAGTTCTGGTTTCTCTGGATTTCTTCTGTGATTGTTAATGTTCAAAGTGTGATGCGAGGTCATACTGTACATCCATCTATGATTCATATGGGATCTTTCTATCTACGGAGGACAGGATTTGAGCTTGTTTGCTCTGCTCATGATAACAGCCATGTTCTTAAACAAAAGCATCTCAGCATTGTCTGGATGAGAAGTAAACTGTTTAGATTGGCTGATGTCGGACTCAATATCTCAGCCAAACACTCAAAACTCAAGGTATGGTCTCACAGTAACAACACATTGTCATTTATTCAATTTAAAGAACAAAAATCACATTTAATGGTGATTTTAAAAGCTTAAAAGTTTGTTTTGGTCCCGGAAACAAATAAGATCTTATTAAAAGATAGGAAAAGCTTTAATCAGGATCAAAATATGATTAGAATCATAGAATTCATTTTAGTTTGAGGGTTTCGGGTTACGTGCCGGAACAGACCAAACTAATCATTTTCACATGAAAACCTAAACAGAGCGAGAGGAGACAGCGCTTGATATCTAGAAACGCAATGCAATTAAAGCTCACTCCGATGCTGCATCATAATACGATTACTGCATAAAAAGGCCCAGAATACATTTGATTCGTTTAGTAGCTGGACATTTATTATGAAATGACACATGAAACCACTTCCAATGATATCAAATCTGACACGTCACCAATTTCACAAATCACATTTGGTGGAAAAATAACCTGCTGATTAACGTCAACTCCAGCCACGAAGCATGATTGATGATTCACATTTTTCAGTTTATAACAAGAACAATCCTAAAAATCTGTTCAGGCAGAGCGACAAAAATGCATGAAAATTAAGACAAAATGACCTAATCAGACCAATAAGGATGATTCAATAATGACTAATATAATGCTGATGCATAAGACTTATTTAATTATAGCAACTTAAATGAAAATGAATATTATTAAGAATGTTTTTCAACAACACAAGACACGAGGGGAAGTATCTCAGTATGAAATAAAAACATCACCTAATTTATCGGCCTGACTGATATGTTATGCATTACTAATTCATATATGCAATTAATTAATTTGTCATCAGGCTGCTTCAATAAAACATCAGCATCATCAACACTTGCAAAGAGCATCTACAATGACCATTAAAGGGGTCATAGGATGCCCATTTTCCACAAGTTGATATGATTCTTTAGGGTCTTAATGAAAAGTCTGTAACATAGTTTGGTTAAAATGTCTCAATGGTAGTGTAAAAAACACCTTTTATACCCTGTCAAAAACAGCAAGCTGTTTTGTAGCATTTTCCTTTAAATGTTAATGAGCTATGCTGACCCCGCCCCTCTCTTCCGAGCTGCTCTCAGAGAGACAGTTTACTTTAGCCGCATTCATCGTGAAACTTGCTAATTAGCACATTATTAGGAAAGGCGATTTGCAAAGATTCATTACAAAACATTATACTCACTTCTTCTGTAGATGAGGCTAGATCATGAATGATTCGCGCGAACATATACGCATTTAGGTAGATCAGGGGCACATTCCCTTCAGAAACAAATGTAATCCACTGCAAGTTCAGCGGCTCAGATGTCGGGAGTAAACGACGCACTGGGTGGATTTTTATCATTATAGGGTGGTTGTGTACACACACTGCCAACACACATTTCAGTTCAAACAACTTGTAAAAGTGCATGTAGTATCCTATGACCCCTTTAAGAAACTACATATTCTTAAATAAATAATAATTATAT